TTTTTTCGAAAAATTCCTTTTTTAAACAAATTCTATGAGAAAAATAATCGAAAATCTCCCTTTTTAAAGTTAAATGCGTCATATTCTTTCGTTAATTAAAAAAATATCAACCAATTTGTACTTACGATAAATTAATATTTGCTATTAATATTCAATTTTTGAATAAATTGACAATCTTGGACTCATTCGAAAGCCAAAGTTCTATCATTCATCATATTCAAAAATCGCATATTGTTATTATGTAGACTTTAAAGATCGTCAACTGCACCTAAATTAACTCATATAATTATACAATTGTTCATGAGGGATGGCATCGATATATCAGCGTTTATAATTTCTTTGATTTGGCATCGATTGTTATGCCTATGATCACATATACTTTTTTATATTAACAAAAAATTCAAGTCAACGATTAACAATTGTTATAGCATTTACTATTTTGGTTATGTGGTGAATATAAGTTTCTGATAAATAGTATGATAATAATTTATTGATTAAACTTTAAATTTGAATTCATTAAAATTTTTAAAAATAATAACAGGACCTGGAATTATATTTATAAAATAGGGAACATAATGAAGAATGTCAGTCTGTTTCTTTCATTCATACTTATTGTGTGTGGTATTAGGATTTGGACATGCAATGTAAAACTTTTTTTTAATGTCATTGATCATTATATTATTTACACAATGAAATTATATTTTATTGTTTTATCTTTATTTAGGTACGTTCTTCTAAATTGCCTGGAGAAATAGCTGTCGAACCTGATACTAATCAACACGTTATAAAAAATGCAGATCCAACTTAACAATACATTAATTGAATAATCATTTAATGCAAATGACAATTCTTTCTCGATCGGTTAAAATATGTTAATCGTCTTTATGACGTAATTATTAAAAATTATACAAATATCGCCCATACATGCACATGCATGCATATAATTTGATTTTGTGGAGTTTTTGATCATCATATGATAATTTAAAATTAGAGATATAAATGATAGAATGAATTTAATTGAAGAAAAAATTTCTAGTGTATTAGAATTAATGACAGAGATTAATAATAATTGTTCTGATTAAACATTAAGAATTTTAATAGATTGGTTAAATTATATTGTAATTTTGATTTATATATATAAATTTTAAAAAATTTTTATTTCAAAATGATCAATGGTGTTGTGTCAGTTATTTAATTAATAAGCCAATCGCCTAAAAATCCTGTCACCAAACCAGTAAATAATGCTGAAAAAAAATTCACTTGATTATTATCCAACAAATCAATTCCACTAATAACTTTGACATTTTCAGTTTCATGATAAGTAATCTTTTTTGATTTCTCAGAATAATTTGTTTGCTGGACTGTTGCACCTAGTAATGAATCTACCAATGAACCAAAAAATCCTGCAAATGATGAAATTATAATTATTTCATACCAGATTTTTACACAACCATCTGTTATCACAGTAGTTATTAATGCAAAGACACCAATTATAAAGCCACCCATAACTGAAGCTAATAAACCTAATGGTGATACACCTCCATTTGTACCAGGTGGAACCTAATTTAATCAATTGGATTGAAATTGAAATTGGAATTGGTGAAATGGAATTGATCAATGATATCCATTCATTCTTTTTTTCATTCCCCCCAAAAAAGACCAACCTTTTTAAATGTTGTTATTAATATAGGCCAATCTTTACTAAGTATGCCAAGTTCGCTTGCCCACTAGAAGAATATATATATAATTATTTGCTTGTTTCCATAATTTACAACTATAAAACAATTGATCCAGATATAATTTATAACTTTACCGTATCACCATTACATGTAGCATAATGTCTTTTCCATTTGTTTTAAAAAAAATGGTTAAATATATAATGTGTATGGTTGATTAAATATAAAAGGAAAAATTTTATTGTAAAATTATTCACCCAATATACATCCAAAATAGAAATCTTGAGCCTCGATCTTCCAACAAACATTCCAGATTACCGCCATATATCCACTGATGAAGTATTGCTATCGATGTTCCAAATAATGAACTACACAAAACCTGTGCGATAGTTCTTTGACCACCATCAACATAATCTTCCTCTAATTTCTTCTTCCTTTCTGCTTTATACTATCTCAGAGAGGAAAAAATAAAGAAAATAAGAAAGAAAACAAAATTTTTTAATTTAATTAATTAATTAATTATAAAAAATTTTTTACTTTGGTTAGTCTTGAGCTGGTAAAATAGAATGTCAATAACACTACTGCATACACATTCCAATCATGAGTAATAGTCCCCAGGCCAACAAAAAATGCAGCTATTGCACCAGATAATGATAACGATTTTTTAATATAACCATGTAATCCCAACAAAATTGATATTATAAAACTTGCTATTAAATTCATTATTTTTAAAATAATAAAAGTTTATAAAAAGACTACATGAGAGGGAAATATTACGATGTGATAAAATTGGAAAATGATCTTCAATATGAATGATCTCAATGAGAGTTCCAAGGTAGAAAAAATTTACTTTAAAAATATAGAAAAACTATTTATATATTTTTATTATATTATTTTCAAGAGGATCTTACCTTTGGAACACAATATGCAACCTTCATTAAAAGAATTAAAAGAATTTCAAGAGATTAAAACATATTTTTTATTATTTACTTATTTATTTATTTATTATAAAGAACGACACAAAAACTCGGAATTTTTTTTTTGTTTCGTTTAGTATAATTTTGGTTATCATCATCATCATCATTATTATGTATGAAAAAGAATGATTTACGTCAATAGGATGGTAGTGTGGGAAATAAAACGTTCTATAGTAGTAGAAAGAAAGTACACTCACTAGACAAAAGTCGGGCGCATTTTTAAACAAAAATTGTGCAAAAACGCACACAATAAAAACACAAATAACTTATATCATTTTGTAGCCTAGGTTCTCGAAATTTTGCATGCAAAATTTAAAACTTTTATTATGCCTAAAAAAATAACAGTTAAAAAAATAAAAAATCCGACCAAA